GCAAAGTTGTATGTTTTGCATAAAAACATACAAATGGACTCAGAATTAAATGCAAGAGAAAAAAGAATATTACAGAATATTGTATCTTTTAAAAATAATGAGTTTTGCTTCCTGCTTACGCTTAATTTTTATTAATAAAGTTGATTTTGCTTGCTTCAGAGAATATGCTATATTTACTACTTTTGAAATGTAGTATTCAAAGTAGGTTAATAACAAAAATTCAGATTCAAAAATGTGAGATAAAAGCTAATTTGGGCAAAAGCTTTCAGCACATTTTTAGAACAGTGTAATTATTGAAAAGAAAACCTAATTCATTAATTGCTTTTACTGATAGTGAACGTTAGTCACACTAATACACATTTACTCACAATTACCATGGATACCATTCTATCCGTTTCCAGGACCTCAATGAAGACACAAACACTAATATTTCAATTAGTTTCAATTAGTTTCAATTTCATGTTTTCACAAATCCATGCTGCCCCCTTCTGGATATTTTTGGAGATTATGTGACAATAAAAGTTTAGTAAGATGCAACAAATGAAAATAAAATTTTAGTAAGGAACTCAGCCTATGTGTTCCCATGCAGAAACATAAACACTGAAACCAAATATTTAATTCTAAAACATTTCCCAGAAATTCTATTCTTAATAGTTCTACCAACAGAAAAATAGTTCTGATACTTTAATCATCAATGTGAATGAAGGAAATAAACATTAAATACATATTTACTGAAAGTAAATAAAATGTGATACTTAAGTCACATTTTCTGTTCCCATTCATACCTCACCCCCAGAAGCAAACCAGGATCTGAACTTGGTACTTATCCTTCCAGCTTAATTTTAATGCTGTAATCCCAATCCATAAACATGCAGAATAGATTTGTGTGTTTTTAAAATATAAGTAAATGGTATGAGATCATTACACATACAAACACACCATGTCATATACTGCTACCCACTTCAACTGAAAATCAACTGAGAAAATGTGAAAAGTTAAATGTAAAGACACTGCTACAGTTATTTATGTAGGAAATACTCGACTGGGTCACATGTGCTATTTTTTAATATCTGACTTTTCATTACTGTCAATCATTCTATCTGATTTATTAAGGGAAGTGTTTTATACTGCTCTCTTGATATTTTAAAATTATTTTCATTTCAGTATTCTTTCCTAAGTCTAGTTTTTCAGTAACTTAAATGAAAATAAAAAGTTTCCAGATCTTGGCAAGTAGATTATACTAGAATTTATAGCAAGAGGAGAACATAAATAGCAGGGGGAGGTACACTAAGCTAGGTAGAGGGAAGGTGTCAGATCATTCTCACATGCCCCTACATAATTCTAATGACAGACTAAGAGGAGTTTCCAGCTGCAGCATGGGAGGCATTAGAAAAGCTCCCTTCCCTCTCTGCATGCCTCTGCTACAGACTCCCCAGTCAAAAGGCACATGAATTCTTTTGGCCTCCCTTCTCAGGCTTTCAGAATTCACCCAAGTTTATTTTGGACAGCTATTCAAACCTGGAGAGCATTCTATCTCTTAACTAGTCTGTGTTGCTCAAATCTTAGTTGTCTGAGTAAGATTAAGCTAAGGTTTATATTTCTGAAGTATGAAAACACTACAGTATAGAAAAACTCTAGAAGATGAATAAGATATTGCAATCAGAATACGGAGAGTCAAAGAGCAGGAGAACAGGAGAGAAAGAGAAACTTGCTTTTCACTGGTAACCTTCTGCATTTTACACTATACGTGACTTATCTATAAAATATTTAATAGTCCAAATACAGAAGAGAATTAATAAGCCAGTTTAAATTACAGCAAATCTTTTTTCTCTCCTTTTATTTTGTTTTTACATTACTTACATGTGTATATATTGTTTGTGCCACCTCCCCCCCACCCCCGATCCCTTCCCCCTCCCCCAGCAAACCAGTTTTTAAAAGAGTTTTTCTTCTTCTAAACGGTCTTTTATGAGGATATAGCTGACTGGCAGAATACTCGCCTGGCACATGTGAGGCCCTGGATTTGATCCCTAACAATACACACAGTAAAAAGTAAAAATAAATTTAAAATAAAATAAATAAGAAATCACCTATATGAATACTTAAAGTGGCAATATAATTTAATAATAATGAAAACATTCCACTTTAAATTTGAATCCAATTAAAACTGCATAAGAACTATCACATCTGAATAACAATATATAAGGACAAAACCAATATAAAAACAATCAACACAACTTGCAATGACAAACAAAATAGTATCATACTTTATATTATATAACTTACATGCTATCTATACATATAGTCTCATTTTAAACAAATATTTCATTTCCATTTTCTTTCATATATACATATAATACATTTTGTTCTACCAAGAAACCAAACCATCAAAAAGTAATGAAAAAAAAAATCAACATGCATTTCTTCCTCTACACTCAATAATCTTAAGAAAGAAACAGAAATAGTATAAAACCTAACATTAGAGAACTCAGAACTACAAATTCTAGCACTTCTCACAAAGTCAAAATATAGTCAAACAGTTCTTTTTGAGTAGTTTAACAAAATTCCTTATTTCTGAGTATCTATGACATGCTCCTGCTCTCAGCCACCAAAACATGTAACTATTACCTCTCCTTTGACATTTAGTCTTCCTTGTTGCAGATTTACTAAAACATTTGCCTTAACTCTCTGAAATGTAAGCTTATGTTTGCTGGAATACTTAAAACATTACTTAGCAGAGAGTAACAACTGCCCCCAAAATCTTTTTGCATTGTTCTCAATAACCTTTTGTCACTACATAGTCCTGAATCACTTCAATCAACTTCAGTACTGAAATTATTTTTTATGTATTTTATAACTCAAGGTAATCTTCAGGAAAAAATTGAATTTTCTTACTATATTTTAATTCTTTAAAATGATCTATATCAGATAAAAATTAAATATCAGTTAACCAGACAATCTGATGAGTCAAAACTCAATTTCAAAGCACTTTTTAGTGAAATCTTATTATTTTTCAAAGCAATGTGAGTGAGATGAGATGTCTTTCAGGGACATCCCAAGCAATTAGGAGCTAATAATAAGAGAAAAGTGCTATGTCCACGATCTACTTCTATGTGTTCACAGTAAATGAGCATAACTCTGTCTAAATTTATCACTATTATCTTAGTGTTGAAATTAAAAGAGTTTTGTTAATTCTCTCACCACATTTTACAGTCCTCTAGGTTCCATCTATACACCTAACAGCAACAGAACCAGCTCTACCACAGTGAAATAATCCTTTATAGAAATCAACTTACACTACAGTTTTCAGGTGGAACTAGAAGTTGAGTGATCTCACCACCATGAACACAGAAGATGTGTTTCATTTCTCCAGAAAATATGTCCCAAATTATGACCGAAAAATCCACACCTCCAGATATCAGGTATCTTTGATCATAGCGAGCTGAGACCTGATGAGGATATAGCAAACATGTGACTTTGTTCCGATGACCACGAAGTGTTCTGTGAGGTGGCCAACCTGTGAATGAGGTTTTGGATTTAAAGGGTGAAAGTTAAGGTCTTACAAAGTTTTAACAAGTAAGAGTAAACATGAAATGTCAGAAGAGTTATATATAATTTTATCACAGAAAAAAGCTTCCAATTGTATCCTCTAAAGCTGCTCTAATCCAATACAGTGTCTTCATGAGACTACTAAGCACTAGAAACAGGGCTACCCACATTCATCCATGCAGTACAATCACGTAGCCATGAAATTTTTAGAATTAGTAGGAAATAATATAAAATGTTTCACTAATAACTTCCATATTAATTCCCAATCAAAATAACTTGTTACATTGGGCTATTTAATAAATAGTTTTATAGTCTATTTCACCTGTTTCATTATATCTTTTAACATGGCTATTAGAAAATTACATGTATGGTTTACATTAGATTTCCACTGGACAGCCCTCTTCTAGAAGATTATCAAAATTACAAACAATAAAGTTATTTAGTAATTAATAGAAATAATTAAAAATAAATGAAACCATTAATATATACCAGAGATAAAGCCAAATCACTACTTATAGGTAAATAGACATTTAATATTTTAGCATCTTTACAAATTAAACCCTATCAACTACGTAGCACACTAACAGCTATCCTGATTGATTTTATTTCTTAAAAACAGAATAGAGAAAATTTCGGTGCTCTCAAAGCACTTTAGACATCTGCAGATCTTTGGTGTACCTCTTCTGAGCATGTGTTCCCCTCGCAGCAGCTGTACTATGGCTGTCTGTGTGGCGGGTACAATAATTATGCTTCCATCTTCACGGCCACAAACAAGTCGTCCGTGTGCTGGGATGTACACACTCGCGGTTACTTTGAGAGGTTCGTTGCTATTGGGAATCACACTTAGCTGATCTATAATTCCAGCAGGACAAGGATTCAATTTATCAAATGCTTCTTGTAAACTAATAGAAATTGCCATTTTCAGTCCTGTAGAGGTTTTGTTTGGTACAAAAAAAAATTATGCATGTTAAAAAAATTAAAAACATTAAAATAATGGTGGTTGATTCAGTAATATACCAAAAGATGACTTTCATCAAATATAACTCTTAGAAGAAAATGATATATGAAACATTACAAATTTGTTTTTCAGTGACTGGAATTTAAGATGTTAAATTAAATGAATTAAGAAATTGATACACAAGATTTACTATTACCTTTTTCACCTTCCTGCTTATCAGTGGTGTCTGATATGTCCCAAATATTTAACCTTCCAGAAGAATCACCCTGAATTAATAGCTTATGCAAATATTCCTTGCATCCATAGAAGAATCGAGTAACAGGAGGACAAATGAGCAACTGCCAAAAAAAATTCAAGTATCTTTAGCTATATTTTTAATCAAAATATTTTACACATTGTAACATTTTTTCAAATAAAGGTATAAAGCATTTTTTCTCATATCCTAGCTTAAAAAGTGTTTCTACATCAGGCACCAGTAGCTCATGCCTGTTATCCTAGCTACTTGGGAGCTGAGAATGGGAGGATCATGGCTCAAGGACAGACCAGGCAAATAGTTCATGAGACCCCATCTCCAAATAACCAGAGCAAAATGGACTACAGGTGTGGCTTAAGCAGTAGAGCACCTGCTTTGCAAGCCTGATACCCAAAGTCCAAACCCTAGTCCCACCAAAAAAAAAAAAGTTTCTAGCATTATTCAACACGATTTTAATGTAACTTTGTAGCATAATATACATGTTAACTACAGTATAACATAAACCTTCAAGGAAACAAAACTATATTTATGGTCTTTATCTAAAATTAGCATACTAGCCACAACAAAGCAATTTATTTAATTCCTTGTTATTAAATAATACAGAGATATGCTACTCTTGACCAAAAAGAAGTCTCTACTTAGTCAAAAGGTAAACAAACTTTACTAATCCTAGTTTGTTTTTTTTTTGCACATTCCTGATTCGTCACTAAAAATAGCAGTAAAATTAAACTACCAAGCTTGTGTAACTAGAAAAACACATTTTTTAAATGAAAATAGTTTTCAACTTATAGCATGCTAATTTACTTGGTCACATTTACATAATCAATTTTAACCTAACCTAATACATTAGCTATGAATTACTAGAAACAGAAAACATTCTTAGGGTCTTGTGCATATTTTCATTTTTTAAAAAAATTATTTTTGGCTTAAGATCTTGGACCTTATGAGGGGAGAGGAGATAAAGGAAAATTATGGAGGGGATGAATTTAACTAAGATATATTGTAAGCACTTTTGTAAATGTGAAATGTACACCTAGTACAACAATAATAATTTTAAAAACTTTTTAAAAATGGAGAATGGGAAAGGAAACAGGTCCTGTCTGGGGGTTGGTACTAGTGGGAGAGGGCAGGATATAAGGAAATGGTGTAGGAGGATGAATGTGGTGGAATATTATGCACTCACGTATGAAAATGCAAAACTGAGACCTGCTGAAACTATTCCAGGAATGGGGGAGGGAAGGAGAATGATAAGGGGTGAATTCAACTATGATATACTGTAAGAACTTCTATAGATGTCACAGCGTATCCCCAGTATAACAATAATATAATTTTTTAATGTAAAAAAAATATATAAAAAGTTCTTTAAAGAAAGATCTTAGGCCTTCAGTGAAATTACATATTTATAAATATTAAATAGTGGTGGACTCCAAAATTTAAATTCAGAGTATGAATTCACAAATACTAGAATATTAAAGTATAGAATCTTAGCCTGAAAAGTAGTAATTAATAGCACAATGGAGTTTTTCTCAGCCATGAAGAAGAATGAAATCTTATCAATCGCAAGTAAATGGATAGAACTGGAGATCATCCTGAGTGAGATTAGCCAGACTCAGAAGGCCAAAAAGTGTACGTTCTCCCTCATATGTGGACTTTATATCAAGGGCAAATGCAGCAATGTTGTTGGACTTGGGTCACACAGTAAGGGGACAGCACATACAGGAGATATGGGGATAGGCAGAAAACCCAAAACTTGAAAGTGTTTGATGTCCCCACTGCAGAGGAACGAATATAGAAACCTTAAAATGACAGAGGTCAACTTGGGAAGGTGACCGAGAAGTAGTAAAGAGGTCAGGTAGAGATGAATCAATTCGGGTTGTAATATACTTGTGCATGGAAGCAATGCTGTATAGCTATCTTTATCTCAACTAGCAAAAATGCTTTGTCTTTCTTATTATTGCTTACGTCTACACTTCAACAAAATTAGAGAAAAGGGCAGAACAGGTTCTGCCTGGAAGCGAGGAGGGTGGGGGGGAGAGGGAGGGAGTGTGGGGTAAAGAGGAGAAATGGCCCAAACAATGGATGCACATATGAATAAATGAATAAAAAAACAGACTTCAATTTTGATAATTATAGTTAATAAATAATCTAGTTATAGTATTTGCTATTACTTGTTTCATAAAAAGCACTAGCCTGTAGAAAATAAATATATTAAGAATAACACATTATTTAACCTTACTTAACTCTTGATCATTTTAATTGATAAACTACATACTTAGGGAGTTGCTATAGCAACTAGACTAACCAATAAATCATATTTTAACATGAATATCTCACACCACATAATACATACATTTTAATTTAAAACACATTAGGATGCATCAGGGAACTGATATTTAAAGAAAAATGATATGTATGTTATTTTTGTTTTGTTTGTGCAGGGCTTCTTATAAATATTCCTTAGTTTAAATGGAAATGATTGCATAGGTTAGAGAACAGTAAGTAGGAGTCTAAGAAAGTAAAAAACAGACAGGTTACAGAGGATCTTACTTAAAAAACAGACAGGTTACAGAGGATCTTAATTGTACCTAGATGTACAAATTCTGTATTTCAAAATAATCACGGATAAAGCAATTTCTTTCCCCTCACCACCCCTCCATGGAAAGATGAGACCTGAAGCTCAGAATGATGAAGCTGGGGAAACCCAGAACATCAGCACAGGAATCTTATTTTTTCAAAGCCACAATTTCTTTCTTTCTGGTCACAGAGCATGGAGTCGAAAATCCAGCAGTAAATGCTGCTGCAGTTCAACTTGAAATGGATATTAAGCAGGTTTTAGAAAACATAATAAATTTTAATTTTAATAGAGGAATATTTTATTTTTCATTTCTAATATCTAGTGATTTAGATCAGTACATGATTTAGGGAGAGATACTACCTTCATTTATTCAAGTAATAAAGTATTATTTGCTAACATTATTACATAACTACCTTTGTCCTAAAATTCTATCACCATGTTTTAATTGTACAAGTATAAAATAAAGTTGCACGGTCAATATTGATTTTATCAAAAAGTCATTTCCAAGATGTACTTAGCATAAGATCACTTGTACTCTTAGAAAAAGGCAAATGCCTACTTCATAGGCATATTCTGTATTTATAAGTTATGTGCTTATAACTCACATAACAAAATGTTCTGCAGCATCTAGCATAGTGCTTGAATTGTATTGAATCTTTCAAATGCTTCACTACCAAAGACACCAATAAATATAGCTGTAAAAATTCTTAATGTACCTATCAATTGTAAATGATACCTCGAGAATTTTACCTCTTTATCTTTTCGATCCAAAAGGCTGTGCTGTACAGGAGGAATTAAATTTTCAACCGCTTTCCCCACATCACTGCGGAATGAATCACTAGCTGGAAGGCAACTGAAATGGGTAAAATGCAATGTGCACTTAACATACTGACAACAAATATCTTACCATTCCATATGACAAGAGGTGTTTTGAAAATAGACAAAAAAGGATTTTTAAATTTCAGTTAATTATAAGCAATAAACAATTAATGTTATAAAAAAAATCCTTCCAAAAAATCCACTTAACTTTCACTTAGACGTGAAACTGGGATTATAAATGTACATGAAAGAGTTCTGAAATTTATTACCTAAATAAAACTTTTTTCTGCCCAGAGGAGTGGGTGGGGGACTAAATAATGTATACACATACAAGTAAAAGTAAAAATGATAGCCAAAAATACACAAGAGTCACAAAACCCCGAAGCCCCCATATCTTTTCCCTCACCTACCCCTTTTCCAACTCCCCCACTTTATAGTGCCACCTTTACCAATTCCCCAAAATCTATAACTAGCCTAAAACCATTACCTGCCCCAACTCTCACTATTTATAGATACTATCATCAAGGGGTTTTCTATATAACATGTAAACAACTGCTCTGGCATTAAACCTGTGAACTGCTTATTGCTAAATTGCACCTTCAGACCAGGGACAGAAAGAGCACATCAACCTAGCTAACAATAAATTCAGTCACAACACAAAAATTAAATAAGGGAAAGAAATCAGGCAGCAAAACCACCAACTGGCCTATCAAAACCACCAACTGACCTATCAAAAACAAGTGGAGCAATGGGAAGAAGAAGAAGAGATGGAAACCACCCTCCTCAAAAAAAGTTCAATACAGTATTCAGTGGGAAATGAAGAAATGGATACCCAGTTCCTGACCTCAACAAAACAATGATAAATGTCACTAAGGAGCCCAGTGACAACCACATAAAAACTCTCAAGAAATTTTGGAAGATATCATGGAGAAATTCATGAAGAATATACTAGACATGGTTAACCAGAATGTACAAGAT